GCCGGCACCTTCTTGGCCACATGGATCTCCTATCTGGAATTGTTCGCTCTGCCAACGAAGTCAGAGTATGTCGGTGGATTAGCTGAATCACGACGGCCTAGTACCCAGGGAAGCCGACTTGCTGCATCGGCCGATGAGCACCAGGACGATGATGCTGAAGAGGACCCGACTGAGTCAACATCGCTCTTGCATGGGCGACACCGCACCACCTTTGCCAACTACGTCCGCGTTGGGGTAGACCGTGCATCTGATGAATTAGACGAAGAGGAAGAGGAGAAAGACCCGAACGTATATGCACACGAGCAGGGGTGGAGCGGCATGTTGCCGCGATGGACGTGGCTGTTGCAGCTGCTCATTACAACTCCCGTAATTCTCATGTTGATCGTGCCGCTGGCTCTTCTGATTACCAGCGCTCTCAGCCAGACAGGTCAGGATGGTAGTCCCCAGCTGATCGTCTATCTCTTCATTTCCATTCTCACTGCACTCCTCTTTGCGCCTATGCTGCCATTTATCCACCGCTACACCTACCACCTGCCTATCTTCCTACTCTTTGTTTTCGTCGGGACGATGATCTACAACCTTGTCGCCTTCCCGTTCGCAGACTCAAACCGCCTGAAGCTGTTCTTCCTGCAAGAGGTCGATCTCGACAACGGGATCTCTATTGCTTCATTGACTGGCATGCCGCCATTTGTAAAGGATGTTACCTACGGGCTCCCTAGCGCAGCAGGCCAAAATGAGACCTGTGATTGGATTTTCCGAGGCAAAAACCAAGTTCAGCGGTGCTCCTGGATTGCGCCAGTACCACATGTTGTCCCCAGTGCTGACTCTCTATCCGTCACCAACAAGGATACTGACTCTCTGCTTGAGGCTTCTGAGTTGTCGCCGGACTGGATTTCCTTCAGTATTTCCCACCCTCAGCCGGATAGTTCCTCTGTCCGCTTCGAAGTATCAGGCCAGAATACACGTAACTGCCGCATCAACATGGACGGTAACTACATTACGAACTTCAGTGTGATTGGCTCCTCCGCTCCAGACCACCGCTTCCTAAACCCGTCCCCAGATGGCCTGAACCGGATCCAACTCTGGAGTCGTACATGGGACAATAAGTGGACTGTTGATGTTGATTTTTCAAAGCATGACTCATCTGAGACCCATGCCCAGGTTGATGACTCCTCTATCAGGGGCCGCATCACCTGTCTATGGAGTGACAATAACCGAGTCGGCCTCATCCCCGCTCTTGACGAGGTGAGACAGTTCAGTCCGGCATGGGTGGCTGTGACCAAATTCTCTGATGGGTTGATTGAGGGATCTCGGTCATTTGAGATTAAGCGTTCGAGCCTCGGTCTTGAGTCCTAGTGGTAGGAGGAACCTGGTCTTTTGACACCATTTTCTTTGTACGATTTATGAGGTGTTTCGCTTTTCCATCCATCTTTCTTTATTGTGCTGTGCTGTGTATTATCCTATCGACGGGGCACTTGTTTGATTTATATTTCGGTCGAGACATAACATACCCTTGATTACATCTTCTAAGCATTAAGGACCTTAATCTCAGAACTCTACGCGAGGAGCGAGAGCAATACGACTATATTTCGCTATCGAGTGGACTGAGGAATAGAAGTAGAGGAAGGAAGAGGAGCAACTATCTACTCCAAACAACTAACTACCCACTGGCCATCCGTGGGCCTCAACAGCCACTCATCGGGGTCTGTTGGCATAGACTTGACAGTAATTCCATGTTTGCGAGCGATCTCATAGAGGGGCTTTCGTTTGTATCCAACCCCCCGACCGAGTTCTCTACAATACTCGAAGTGTATAGAAGATAATGTTGCAACTGGAAATGCCCACAGTATTTAACTGGAAGCGCAAAATATGTCCATACATCTTGCATTATTCAATTTACAGGGTATCAGCTTTTGTACCAGGGGTTGAAAGAGAAATGCTAGCAACACATCTCCCTGCTCTTGGGCTACTTTATAGCAAAGAAAAACCCGATAATTACATGTGATTCAGAGAGGGGTTATTCCAAAATCTGTGGAGAGTTAAGCATATCTAACCTTGGAATCTCGGAGCAATTTAAGCTCGAGCCGAAACCATCTGAGCCTTGGAACCGTCTGGAGTAATTAAGCTTATAGCTAAAGTTCTTTCTATCCATGGAAATCCATCCGGGAGAGTTTCAGGTAGATGCAAGTTTCAAATATTGAAACCATCTATATATATACCTGTGAACTACATGTAGGTACATGCAACTGTTATATACCCAGAAAGCCTAGCACATTGCCTGACAGCCCACCCTAATTTAAAATGCCTTGCACGAATACCTAGAGGAATACAGAAGCTACATGTCAAGTGGATACACGACGGAAGAGCGACACGGAAATGAACAAGAATCTTAGGACTACAGTTTGCTAGAAATCACACAAAGCGCAAAGCCGTCTGTATATTTCGAAGAGAGTGGGATGTGCAATCAAGATAATTGGAACATACATATATGTATTTAATAAGAACCGCATCTCAGGAGATAACTACTGGGAACCATTCTATATACAAACAAAGATGAACATGCATCTACATTGCATTATCGTAAATGAACCCTGGCGGGTTTCACATTTGTGGATTCATTAAGGAAGTTACTGGCTCGGCAGCACAACAACTCCGGGTGAGTCCAGAATAATTTAATTGTGGTGACTCGGGGAGCTGGGCGCGAGGCCCGAGGTTTGACGGTGGAAAGTTGAATTTCCTTGGGGTTGTCGGGGTAGAGATCAGTTTGAAGACTGGTTGATGTGTGATGTTCACGGAGAATGAAGTGGGATATTTGGAGTCTCAATGATGATCATATATCGTAAGCCGTGATTCGTAAACGAAAAGAAAATTCCGGAGGATATCGCTGCGACAGGATCTATTCTCATCCTGGTTTCTCGGGCATTTCCCGACGAGTATGTTGACGTGCATAATGGCAGAATGAATTGGTGAAGTCGATTGGGAGGTGATCTACATGATAGGCGCGGGCCTCATTACTCCACGAGTTGGAGAGATCGGAGTTGGTTCGTATGCGGTCGGGCGGTAAATGCTCAAATATGGCGATAGAAACGTCGTCGGCATCCATCCGGGAAGGTCTGCGATGGACGAGACTAGGGGCGGCATGGGTCACATCAGAAGTCACCCGGGTTGCGTCGACAAAGTCGGGGAGGTCGCGCGGCGCAGAGAAAGATTCGGGTTTCCAGACGTGATTGTGTACCAAGTGAATGAGTTTACCAAGGACGGCGAATTCAAGCTTTAGCTTGATGCTGTATACCGCGCCTTTGAGCATGGTTTCCATGATGTAGAAGTTCATGTACTCGGCGACGAGAAGACCCAAGTCCAGGATGATGATGATGAAGTTGATGACCAGCAGCTGGTACTGAATCTTGCGCTTGGCACGGTCCGGGTCTAAGCGTAGCATGCGTACTGTTTCCCATATGTATAGCCCCGAGATGATGAATTCCTGCAGACAGAAGCCTGTCATTTGGATCTTTTCCATTATATTGTAGCCTTTCTTCCAGGGTTCCAGGGCGACCTCGTCGTGAACCATGTTGGTACCGTAGGTGAGAGCGGTGGTGGGAAGATGGAGGATGACTGCGTTAATCATGATCATGATCAACACGCGACGCAGGACTCGGTGGTTTGATAGGACCAAGTGTAGGCGCGAGTACAGGACAATCGACTGGCCGGTGACCATGCACCACCATCCAATTGTGAGCAAGGTGACAGGGAGCCATAGAGCGTTGTCGGTGACGTTGAAAAATTTGAGTAAGAAGCCTAGCGTGTAGGGAATTAGACCGGCGGCGGAGGAAATAAATAAACTCCAAAAGTAGAGTCCTCGGTATTCCGCGAAGGTGACGAAGAGGAGGATCATTAGCTCGAAGGCATTGTACCAAGTGATACCAGCAAGAGTGGCGATGGTGATCTTCATTTCCAGTGAAGTTCCATTATAGTGACCACTGATGCCATCCCCGGCGGCACTGAAATTGCTCATGGCGTTGACTTGTCAGGGGAATAGCGGCATGGCGTGTGGAGTAGGTGTGGATTCGGGTATGAGATATAGGAAAATCTGGGGACTTGGGGGGGACTCTAAGAGACCTAAAAATATGAAACAAAGAGAAAATGTAAATAAGAAAAGGACAAAGAGGCAAAGACGAAGCTGGGGCGCACTGGCGCACCCCGTATATTGCATGCGGGGGCCGGCGATCAGGATACCCCAGACTGTGTAGAAAATGGAAATGTAAATAATAGGACGGTAGTATATCGTACTCCGTATACTCCGTACAATAAATAATAATATATCAAAAATGGGAAATGTTGAAAATATGGTGAATCCAAAAAAGCAAAAAAAGGATTCGCTTCCCATCCGCGACTTCATTGGAGCTCTCTCATCTCTAGATCTCGTATATTGTGCTACCTGTCCATTCGGGGGTCTCCATGTTTTACAATGCGATTGTGAACTTATCTCAACGTCTCTTAACTCATGTTGTAGGTCCAGGCAATATATTGAACCCAAAAAGCCACACGGCTAAAAGGGGAATATTGAAAGTGCAACCCGTTTGCCAGCCAAGACTTTTGGTACCGGGCATAATCCAGCCTCACTGCCAGGATCATAGCCCGCTTCATTGCGCCACGGAGAAAACCTCGTTTATGGGCGGATAGGTGCGCCTTTGTCCCATGGATAATTTGGTACTCGGTGAGGTCGTTGCGTTCTTTGTTTCAATTCGCAGTCTGGACTGGGGCCTAGGATTTATTCAAAGACATCTTCGAGGGTATCCAAGATGGGAGAGAATAGCACCCTGGTTTGGTCAAGCGTTTAACACTGGAAACTCCACATTCGGCAACAAAGATCTGCTGATGTCATCGGGAATTGGCGCGTGACCTGCTTAAATAACACAGCCCTAGCCTCTATCCCTGCCTAGATATTTTGTACGATGAAAGAGGCTATTTACGAATATGAATAAGATTAAATTTCTCCAGACTCATTCATAATACTTCATCCAATGGTGCTCTTCCCGAAACCCAAGCAGCTCCTTAATTTTCCGGTTACTGATGGGAGCCTCTCTGGCCCCCAACTCTCGCGTAACCGAGACACCGGGACAAACCCGCGCTAGGAACTCAGCAGTATTCTCGTAATTCGTAATTTCGTCATTGACGGCATTAAAGATCTGAAACCCAAGGCCATCCTTCTGAATCGCGAGATCACACATCTGCCCGAGATCGCGAGCATCGATGTACGACCAGCCATGTGGCGCCCATTCTTCGGAATTTTCAACGTATGAACGGAACATAGACTGTTTGTACTCCTCCGGAGCAACAATGCGACCGATACGCAGTATATATATGTCGCTTCCATACCGGCGCGCAAACCCACGGGCAATGCTCTCGCCGCACACTTTTGAGATGGCGTATGTGTCCATTGGGTTTGCATCGACACTTTCCTCGACTGGGAAGGAGGGATAATCTACGTCTCCCTCTGCAAAACTCACTCCATAGACTGTAATAGAGCTGGCGATGATGATCTTCTTGATGCCGAGGCGTGACGCACCTTCGATTATGTTGTACGTTGCCGAGGTATTGCCGCGGAAGGTTTCTTCGTCTGGAACGATCATGTTGCGCGAATACCCGGCCATGTGAATGACTGCATCGGGGACTAGCCCAAGTGGCTCGCGGAACGGCTCTGTTAAGTGGAAATGAGAGCCCAGTGCGCTGTATACCTGTCCAGTGTTTGTCAAGTCGACACGCATGGTATGCACTCCCTCTTCTAGCTCAGCGGGAAGAGGAACCAAGTCAAGGTTTAGGATATCATGGCCTTGTTGGAGGAGATATCTGATAATATGCTGTCCCGCTTTGCCAGAGCCTCCTGTGACCACAATGCGTTTCCCCATGTTGTGGTATTGTTTGTAGGAGGGTTGGATAATGCGGGGTATAGATGATCAAGATATCTCTATATGATGTAAACACCGTAGATGGCGAGTCAATAAGTGGCTAGTCAAGATACTCTAGTTTGGAATGGAAAGCTCTTAGATGTGTTTGAAGATACAGTCTTCGCTTTTGCTGTACGCGAAGCGTGGAGCCGGAAGATAACATTCCGAAGTGTTCGGCCCGACAAAGATGGAACGAAAGCTTCCGGATGAGAATCACATTCATTGTTAATTTGCAAGAATACTCAGCTCATGCGACTTTTATTGATGTAGGACTTGACGACAGTAGAGACTTCGTATATTGATACTGTGCATGATGTCTTTCTTCTAACCAGAACGGTCAAGCCGCATAACCCGCATAATTCAGGGCATATACTTTTGTTAAAAAACAGTGATTTGAAAACATTGAATTTGGACATGGCCCAAAATAGTACGGGCAACGCTCTCTTGACGGCTTAGACTTGTTAGCGCTACTGTTACTTGCCTGGATCGCCCGTTGTTCAAGGTAAACCTCGTCCTATTGGTTATGTTTTTGTTTGTTCGGGGCAACAAGTGCCAAGTATGCATAGCCCTCACCGACAGTCGAGAAGTACATCGTTTGCACCCCGCCTGATTGCAAGCAAAAATTCGATGCTACAAGTGTATCGTGCAAGGTTTCTTACTTGTTTATAAAGAACTTTATCAGGTTCAAGATAAAAAGGGCGAATGATTTGAGAGCCAGTTATTTTCTATAGGCTTAGCAGGCCGAGAAAGAACCTTGAAAGCGTTCCCGTTTCACCTGGGGGTTTACCCCAGATCACCCAGGCAAAGTGTAACATATCTGATTGGTCCCGTCCACAGGCAGGTAGTTCTCGATAGTGCCTACGTAATAATGCCCCAAACATGTTGATTAACGACTTGGACCTCATATATCTTATTTGGTGTTGCTTTTATACCCTTATAGGAGGATTTGTGGTGATTCCTTGAGCCCCAAAAAGCCAGCATCAAAATCACCGAGTTGGATAACTAACGTCAGTCAAGATACTAGGCCAGCATTCTATGTTGCAAACATGGCAGGGTGAATTCAACTCCCTTGTTTGAACGGGTCTGAGTATATCGCCGAGTGATCGCGACGATGATGATATCTCACACCTGCTCTAGCCTGCTCTAGCCTGCTTGACAATCGTAATCACCCAGTAAGACTACACAGAGCGTATTGTAATGAATATATTCACAACAATGCTTTGGACAATGTGCTCTTGCGGACGGTCTCAACTAGAATATCCGCTACGGCCTTCATCCCATTAAGATTCGGATGGAGAAGTGGCCCCGATGCAAAGCCTCCAACCCAGGGTTCTTTGCTGCCAAGTGCATGTTCCTGGCTGAGTTGGTGAATCGGGACTGTCTCACACCAATCAGTTCGACCCTCCACGGCGACAGAATATGCATGTTGTAGAACAGCCGCAACACCACGGTAATGCTGAATCCTCTCCTGGGTCAGCGGGATATCCCGACCAGTTTGAGTGCCAGGTCCCAGAACAGCAAGATATTCGACCAGGAAGACTCGAGCTCCCGGGGCCCGTTTGTGTATCTGATCGAGGACTCCCCCTAGCCGTTCTGCCAATTCACTGGGAGCTAGTGGCGCGGATGATTGTAGCTCGGCATCGCAAGCATCGGCGATCATGCCGCCAATGTAGTTTATGTCGTTTCCTCCAGCAGTCACAGTGATTATATCGGCATCTTCGGGGAGGCTGGAGATTTGTGGCGGGAAAGTGGTGTTGAATGGGGTAGACTGTGGATCGACTGTTATGTTGAGCAACGTTGCACCAGAAACGGACAGATCAGTGAGATCGGCGTTTAAGTGCTGGGCCAGAAGATGGGGGTAATTCTGCCCTGATCGCAATGCAGCTTGTGGTTCGATTTGTGGGGGAATGTCAGGACCAGCAGCAAAGGAGCTGCCCAGACTTGCAATCTTGAGTTTCTTTGGAGATTCCATAGTCCAGCATAGAAGAGTAGAGCAGAAGAGCAGGGAAGCTTGACTCGAAGTTGGAGAGTCGCTTTGGCAGAATCCACAGGAAATGTATGCCTAAAATATCAGGCCTAAATGGCTCGGCCCAGCTGAAAGTTGGCTGCAGGCTGGCTTAGGCGGGGCGCAGCGCCCGTAGCCCTAAGCCCGGGCCTCGTATCTCCAAAGATCTACAACATAGTAGACATCAGTGGAATATTTTGTCTTACGCCTTTGGGAATGCCCGAGTATTGGATTGCAAGCATGACTTGGACCCGCTTGGGTTTCGACGGCCTGGCAGTTAGGGCGCCTGAATACTCTCTATAACCAAAGTCACAGACAACTCGATCTCAGCGTCTTTCTTCGACATGTACCTATGATAACCCTCTTAGTGGGTAGATAGGTGGCCTAACTTGAGCTCCCCCAAAGACCCGATTGGTCAGGTTGTGAATTTGTCCTAGGATATGCTAAATAAATGTTTTTGGGGTTATGTACCATGTATAGAAATCAATGCCTTGAGGTCTTACTTTGCCACGTGTAACACACGAGAGTCAAACTGTCCAGCAAATATTGGCGGTGTTTCCTATTTGCCCCATTTATACTGTTACATCGACTAACATAGCACATAGCATAAGCATCTAGGAAATCTATTTCGAGAGATCATGGCGGAGTGACCGTGAGAAACCTCAAAGTGTGGGGGCCTCATCTCATAGCCTATGCTTTGGTAATTGGTAGGTTAACAGCTGAACATTGAGAAAAGACTTAAATACCTTCGTCCCTTCTGTTGGCACTTTCCTTCTTATTCTCATCCGCACCACTCTCATCCAAACATCCTTTCACAATCCAAATATCTCTTCTTCCAACGATCCAAACAACCACCAAATCGCAAGCATGCAGATCTCTCAGTTTCTTCTTGCAGCTGGCCTTTTCGCCTCCTCTATCTTTGCTGCCCCTGTTGCCAGCTCTGATTGGACCATACGAGAGATGAAGCGCGTCTGCAACAGCGAAAACACCTCATGCACCTGGACATTTGGCATCGACTCTGGTTCAGGCATTACCGATTGCAACTATGTCGTGGAAGCCGACGATGCCTCTCACGCTAATGGAGGCCCTAGTACATGTGGCGAATACTCCGTCAGCTCGGGCTGGAGCGGCCAGTTTGATCCTACCAACGGCTTCACTACCTTTTCTGTTGTCAACGACAAGACTAGTCAGCAGATCTGGCCTGCCTACACTGACTCGCAGCTTGTCGGCGGAGAGGTCGTCAAGCCTGACCAGAGCTACCCTCCCACTGCTCTTCCCTGATTGATCGAACAGTCCGAGAAGCACGTGGAAGAACGGCTGTTATGACCGATTTAAGCCGACAGCACTACGTCTCTATCAAACCCACATGCTCCTTTGTGATAGTCGATTTGCGATCCCCTTTCTTAAGTACAGTGTCGGAAGAACGAAATGCGCACTCGGAATGGTGTATATATCAATCCCTCACGCTAGTTCGTTAATAATAGTTGGGTTCTGATTTTTGAATATTATAATGCTTATTCTGTATTTTGGTGTAGCCTTGAGCTGGGAGTAGAATAGTTGCAAGGACGCCGAAGACTTCTCGAAGGCAGCAGCTCAACCACAAACAGTTCTTATTCCTCCATTAGCCTTGAATCAATGAACTCGGTGCCATTCGCCACTGATCACCCACCCTGAATCCCTCTGGGAAGGGGTCACTCGAATCAAGAACTATCTGTTTGAAACTAGTTATCCAAGCCCTCCCAGCAACGGTCGAGAGAATAGCCTGATATCCACCGACTTGTGTGATTCCACGAATATGACTGGTAAACTCGGTACCAATAATACTGCGATGTTTGAACATCTCACCCTCCGCCAGCTGACCTCTCGCGTGCAGAACGGCAAGTCGAGCACATGTGCCAGTACCACAAGGACTGCGATCAAAGCGTCCGGGTGACACAACAACAGTGTTGGTAGCAGCTTTGCAACCGACCTCTTGTGTGAGAGGCTCCGTGAACCCCAGAATACTGACTCCCTTGATTCTAGGATTCTCGGGGTGAACAGGCGTGTAGGAGGCCTGGACCGCGCGTTTGATACGCTCGCCAATCTCAACTAGCTGCGTGCTATACTGAGACTCGATTTTCAGTCCCACAGAAGCTGCATCCACAAGCACGTACATCATACCTCCCCAGGCAATGTCAACGGAGACCTCTCCAAGGCCGGGGACCAGGACTTGATAGTCGAGTTTGAATACAAAAGCGGGTACATTATCGAATGACACGCTCTTGCATTTGCCCGCTTCGCATTCTGCTCTCACGGTGACCAAACCGGCGGCGGTGTCCAGGGTCAATTCGGTGATGGGCTCTTTCATTGGAACCATGCCGGTTTCCAGTAGCACGGTGGCGGTGCAGATTGTGTTGGATCCCGACATAGGTGCATATTCTTCGCTTTCCATGATCAAAAACCCGGCATCGGCTCGTGGATCACAAGGGGGTAGGATCAAATTTGTGTTCATTGAGCACCGGCCTCGAGGCTCGTTGAGTAAAAGCTGACGTATGTCGTCTTTTTCGTTCAAAAAGTGAACCAGCTTGTCATACATTGTACTGCCAGGGACGTCGAGTACTCCGCCGGTAATCACATCGCCGACTTCACCTTCGGCGTGGCATCCGACGACTGACAATGTACGCGAAAAGGGCATGATATTCGGTTGGCTTGTGGATTTGTTTCGACAAGAGACTGAACCAAAAAAGAATATTGCCTCGATTAGAACTCTGAATTGATTTGAAAGGACGATTTGCAATTCACAAGATCCCCACAATATTTCCGGGCGTAGATACTTATACTAGACTAGAACCTAGCCGCGGAAACTTGAGCCAAAACCGGTAAGACCATTTAATCTAAACTAAGGGGTGGACTCTAGCCAAGGGCATATAATTGCTTTTGACGTGCTTTTGAAATGGACTGTCAACTTTATGTCTTGACGCTGGAAGCGCTGCAGGCTCCTAATTCCTAAAGGCTAGCGAGTCGTGATTATGGGGACGCAAATTATAGTTCTGACATTATGATAGGGCAAGAGCTGTGGTAATGATTGATCAACAGGTTTATCCACACATATGCATGAGACAGGGGGCTTAGGCCCTGATCGAACATCAGCTGAGAGAAAAAGGACAACATCGTGGACTACACAACCTTAACGTGCATAACTTGCTTTACATTCCGATCTCTCGCTATTTAACCGGGTAAGCCTACTATCAGGTGACCTATTGTACTATTCCAAGTCTATCTAGATGTTTGCTTTAGTTATCAAAGGCGCAAAAGGAGGTGTGATGAATCGAGTCCACTTGCACCCCATGCAAATTCGAAGCGAAATTGTCCAGGCTGTGTGCTTGCCCAACCCGTACACAAAATCTGGGGAAAGATCATCACCCTAGAATAATGAAGGTTTTATTTTCAAAACAACAGACGTTCTTGATCTGCTAGATACATACGTTATATTGGGAAATGAAATATGTCTCCTCTCCAATCCCATTGCAAATCTACCGTAATCATGATTTAGATTAAGGATAGGATAATCATTAAATATTCTCCTCCCTATTATTTCAATTCCTAGAATCTGACGAGGATCCAAAATTTATTCATTGTTGGAAAACAATATGCGACGGACATTCGGCCAATAAGTCCATACTAGAGTTGTAAAAACAGTGGTTGGTATAGCGAAGACCCAGTAAATCCAGAACTTGTTGGACATAGTCCAGCCAGAGTCCCCGCCGAAATCAAAAAATGACATGCTGAAGATAGCGCAGATGAAAGTAGGAGGGAGGAACGTAAGTGTAACAAACGCGATCGTTTTCATCGTGGCACTATCCAATTGAGTTGCTCGACCAATTTCAAGGGTAACACTGGCATCATGCTGAGCCACAGTATTAAAGGCCAATTGGATTTCATTTTGCAGTCTCTTCTCATTTGAAATAGACCGGGATCGTAAGTTGGCAATGAAAGACTGCCAGGATCGCAGACGAAAGTGGATGCCTTCGGAAGCAGCAGAGTCATTATCTGGGTTCGAATTTGTATAGCTCTCGTGTTGGATCAAGACGTGCTCCACATTTTGCAAGGCAATGTCGAGCGTCTCGTTCACATGAATAGCATGTCGAGCGATGTCGTGGAGTCGCCTGTAGTCGGGCTGTGGTCTCCCTTCTGGTTTTCCTTCCGTCTCCGTCAGTCGGACATGATCTCGAATAGCCCATACAGAGGGCTCCTCCATCAGCGCAACCTGCTCGACTAGATATGGATAAATCCAGAATGGATCGTTGAGCCAGCTTTCATTCGGTTTCATCACTGCTCTCAGGAAACGTTCTTTGACAGCCGGGTCGAGATCAAAGGCGAGGACCACAGTTTGATTAGTTGAGGGCAGCCATCGTGTGAAAATATTCGTATGATACCATTTGAACTTGGTATCAGGGTCTACCTTTTTCACGGCGAATTTCGACCAGGTATCTAAAGAAGTTAGTGTTGTCTGGCCATTCATCTTTAGCGTACTTACTGAAACCAGTGGTGACACCGGAATCTCGCGTCCTTTCACATCCAAAGTTGCCATTCCCCTGACGGAAAAAATATGACCACCAAAAATGAGGCATACAAAATGCATCAGTGAAGGCTTGTCGACATTGTGAACATCTCTCAATATCGGTAGAATCGGCCACACTTGTAAAGTTAGGAAGTTTCTCTCAATTTGGGCCAGTTCACATACATTATACATATTTTAGACCAAGCAGGAATAATATTAGAGAGATCGTTTGGATCTTCAAGGTGAAAGTTCGCCCGCCGAGTTTGTCGCCAATCGCTTGCATCCACTGCGTTTCGCTGCAATATTAGCAGACTAGCACAGTGTCGACTCTTCTGCTCCTGCATTCTGGTTTCACTAGATGTGATACGTGCTCTGAGCCAGGATATTTCGAGTTTGTTCTAAAGAAATCCCACGGGAGTACAAATCTCACTGAGTGGGGGGAAACGGGAAGGCGCTGAGAGGGACCGTGCTCCGTCAGCCTCAAATGTGCAAAGAAACAGATTCAATTCGAGATTACATATATATTGAAGCTTGTACCAGTCTGATCAGCGAAATTCATCGTTTAATGTTGGTGGCCCAACATATTTCTCGTACCCCCAAGCCCAGTACCAACCAGAGGCAATTAGTATAAACGCAACAAACACCACTGGTGCATAGTTGACCGTATCTGCAGCGACAGGGATTGAAGAAGGCATACAAAATAATGGAATGACAAGAATACTCCATCCTAAAAACGAATATGCGATTAGCGACGGCGATGAATCGTGCCAGGTAGTTCGTACTTACCCAGTGCCACAATATTGCAAGCTAGTCCGAGTGTGCCAAGGTCAAATTGACCATTCTTTATGTGTCGTCGACCTCCAGCAAGAGACACGACAATTGGACAGGCATAGCTGACAGTCAAGGTAATGACTCCAACGCCAGTGAAAGCATTGAATGCAGTACTTGACCCGAAGTAGATAAATCCGAGCAATATTTGAACCACCATGCCAAGCATCATAGCATTGAAAGGTACGCCATCTCTGTTTACCTGCCTCCACCATATGGAGCCTGGTATACCCCCGTCGCGAGCAAACGCCCATGTGCTTCGGGAGACAGCAGTGGTGCAGCCTATGACACAAAACAGAGAGAGCACTATTAATGGTAGGAGAAGTAGGAATGACCCAACTGGACTTCCAATAGCAGACTTGATAATACTCGGAACTGGCTGGCCGGATTCAAGAGCGGCTAAAATTTTTGTGTCGGGGAGCACAAAAACCAATGGAATAAGGAAGAGGAAACCGGCCAGGGTGTTAATAATGACCGTTCCAACCATTGCTTTTGGGACCTGTGTTGATGGATGCTGGACTTCTTCACACATACTTTGACGGGTCAGTTAGTATTCTCATCGCGGAGAATGAGACAGGGGATGTCCCTTTGGGGTTGAAACCAGATATGTCACCTACCAAATCACCATGCCAGTGGAGGAAGTGCTATAAGCTGCCTGTAGAAGTCCGACGCAGAAGGACCAGCCTGCTGGCCAACCAGACTCGGGCTCAAAACTAGTAAAAACATATTCGGCGTCATGTCTGCCCTCTTTCGCAATTGCAAGAACACATATCACAATAGCCAACAATCCTGCAAGCGTCCAGAATATTGCGAATGTCTAGTTTATGTATTAGCACGGCGGTGTCGTCACAAGGATTGTTAGACATACGTCAAGATAAGGTAGCCATTTGTTACCAAAAGCCGATACTGCGTTAGCAAAGAGTGTGACTGCGAGGAATATAAGAAAAACTTGATATGTTTCCGCTTGGAAGATTCCGATCCCTGGAGCGGACTCGAAAACGTTGATACATGAGATGAAGAAAAGAGTGCTCCCAAGGTTAACTGCAAGTGTGATAGTGATATTCCCAATGACATATGACCATCCGCAAATCCACGAGGCGATTCTTCGATATGACGGTGGGGATAACATAAAAGTCTGGTAGTAGACCCCTCCGGCAGTTGGATAGACCGAGGTTATTTCGCCAAGTGAGGCGGCCACACATAGAGTAATTAAAGAGACGGCAAGCCATCCCCAAATTATGTTGACAGGGCCTCCCCCAATAAGAGGGTAGGTGAAAGTTGTAGCCAGTCCATATGGGATTGCTGCCAGTACAAAGGACATGAAAGCTACCTGAAGCGTGGAGCGGTTTCGAACGAGTTCAGGTTCGTATCCCAGAGCTTCCAGTGCCCCGTTTGCTGAATATTGCTTGCCCTCTTCGATACCGGGAAATTCCGCAGGTGAATCGGGCTCGGAAGCTTTGTTCTTCGAAGAATGATGCCGGTGGGCAGTAACTTCGTCTGCCATGATGGATGTTTGGCAAAATCGGGACGAGTAACAAAAGAGTGGAAAGCTACCTAGGATCCAGAGATATTTGATCAATGCTGGCTCAAACGGCTAAGCTGCAAGGTGTCAAATCCTAGGTATACAACAATGTAGTAGTCATATAACCACACATATCAAGGAAGTTTCGAGCGCAACAATCATTAGGAAATTCAGGCTTTTTATCCCTTATTCCACCGAGTGGAATCCAGTGCGCAGGCTAAGCCTCTATTGGCCTCATAAAATCTTGAGCACATTGACCAGTGGGGACAAAATTCACTCAAGCCGTTACCCCATATCTCTCCCGAGGCATGTTCCCGAGGTCTCTACCAAGTGGAGAAACGGATTCTCGCCGAGATAACGTTTGACAGAAAATTCTAACGGACAACCACATACGTGATGATAAGACTAGTAGAGAGATTGGACAAACAATATGCCTGAGCTGAAACATAGACGATACTCTCCGCATAAGCTTGACTGTTTTAGGTATCCAGGCTAGTCCTAAATGGGTTAGGACTTTAACTCTAAAATGCAAGGCGGCTACGCTATACCAAATATGGCTGGTTTACATGTGGGTCCTAGTCCGAAGCTCACTCTCAGGCCCTCTAGGCTCTAGGACTTGTGAGAAATATATGGACATAGATTAGTATCGATTGGGTTAGATGCCAATATAGGGGATAGTAACCAATTGACGCAGCTCGGCAAATGACATTGATAATAGGATGTTGCCAAATATTGAAATACTAATAAGCTATGATCATAACATCGATGAGCTTCACCCGTTGGATTTCCGTGCAAATTTCCCCTCATGATATGGAGAAAGCTAAGATAAGAAGGACCGGAGCTTCTCCGCATATATGATGTCATAGTAAGACATGGTGCGGGGAGAAATCGATTCAGGAACGATTTGCCATTGACTGAGAGTTAGAACATGGACACTCTGTGTTTCCACCAAGAGCGAAGTGGGATACTCGAATGGTGAATGACTCCTCACCAATGTTTTGTGTCAGAATCTGCCTAGCTATGAAAGATTCTACAATATCTAGTCCAGCATATATATATATCTATACCCGTACACCTATGTTTGTTCTTAAAAGGTCTTGTACTTGTTGCCACCCAGGTTAGTGATATGTACCTGGTGGGGTGTACATCTGTCCAGGTCCAATCCTAGGCATGCTGATGACCTGAAGATCAAGTATTCCCCAATAAGAATTTCCTTGTTAATGCTTGACACAGGTCACGCGCATGTATGGAAAAGGCGCTAGTTCGCATTAAGAAAACGAACCCTCCAGGCGTATTTTTGTTCCTTTTTTGGATTAGTGTGAAATATGCGGGGGTGAGCTGGATAACTTCAATCCAATCGGGAGGGTCTCAGAGGTGAGGCGTTCCAAGGTTACTTATCGGCAGGTGATCGGATCCCGGTTCATGCACCGGTCTTCGAATTCGATGATCGGCTTCTCATCCGATGCCCCGCCATCTCAGATATCTTTCCCTGTCTTAGCGAAACATCTTCAATATCTTTGCTTTGGGTAGAATGGAAAGCACGGAAATATTGTCTTCTCCGAAGAAAAGGCAGAATCCCAACCGGTGCCGACCAAAATCAAGAGGGGGCTGCCAGAGGTGCAAGCAGCGGCGAGTAAGTCGAGGTGAAAGATACACAGTTTTTCCTTCTAAGAAGGCCCTCTTTGAAATGCAAATAATTAATACTTATTCAGCGCAGATGTGATGAGGCAAAGCCAAGTTGTCAGGAATGTACCAGGCGAGGACACACATGCCCCGGCTACCAAAAGCAGAGCTTGCAATGGCGATATGTTTATAAAGGCAGCGAAGAGCCAAATCAGCGAATACCACCAAAGGAGTCTCCTGACACAGTTGCGACCGAATTTCCCGAGTTCCCCGAAGTGAACAATCCAACACAGGAGGGAAAAGATAATCTTCAGAATGAAACCCAGAACCTCTGGGATACGGCCTGCCCAAACCTCTTTGACCAGCTGCCGGATTTCGATGAGCCAACAGATGCTTGGTTCTACACCGAGTTGGGGTCTAATAGTACGGTTTTGGCGAAGCCTGAGGGCGAGTTGGATGGGTTGTCGATTTTGCGTCAACGACTGGCCAACACATCCGTCCCCTCCTTTCTCATCCAACTGCCAGTGATGTTGGTTCAGTACTACTTTCATACGGTTTGTAACCAATGGTCATCTTTTGACTGTCCTCTCAATCCTTTCCGAACCATTGTCAGCCGGCTCTGGAGTCGAAATGCGGCGATTTACTTTGCTATCCAGAGCATGTCCGCTGCCTCGTTGGCCAACGATTTTCCAACCATGCGAGCTATCGGAATACAGACACAACAGCAGGCAATTGCGTGTCTGAATAACAGTGTCCAAAAAGGTTCCACTCAGACAAAGGATGATGAGTACTTTCTGGCACTGCTTATGATTGGATCCACCACTGGTTGGCACGATGCTTCCGATTTGGGGCTTCCATATCTGAGAGCGGCCCAAGACCATCTTCTGAGACAAGAACGCCAGTGCAAGAATGCAAATTCTGCCCTCGCAAAACAACATCCACTTTTCAAACAGTGTCTCCTTTGGTGGAACTTACTAGCTGCCTTTGTGGCAGAGGAGTCACCCATTCTAGACATAGAAAGCTCTACAGAAAACAGCGACACAGATCTTTCAGTCTATCTTGTCGATGGGGAGATCCTACCGCATCCCTGGACAGGGTCTCTCAGATACTCATTGAGTCTCTTCTATCGAACTGCAAGAGTGATTCGAGCGGCAAGAACCTCCCACCGCCGAATGCCACGGGCTTTGGATCCTACATTAATTGACTTGAGCTCCATGGCTGAAGAACTCGAGCTCAGACAGAAAGCTGAACACCTCGAGGACAGAATTTTGTTTACTGGCTTCTCATTCTATTGTGGGCCTGTCGATATCGGTGATACAAACACGCCACCGTCGCATTTTCTTACGTTGGCCGAGGCATATCGATGTACGGCACTGTTGCAAATTTATCATGTTTTCCCAGACATTCTTGAAGAACGACTACGAAGTAACCAAACTGCGGATGGCGAACGTCCTATTCCGGCACTCTTTTTGTTGTTATTCCCGATTCCCACCGAATGGTCATCACGCTCGGTAGAAGACGCACGACACACCCTGGCACTGCACATTGTCTCCCTATTGGAGCAGCTTCCTTCAACATCTGGAACGAAGGTTATGCAGCCCATAGTTTTGGCTTGCGTCTCTAGCGATCTTGTTTTCTCGTCTGGGTCTGTGTTGGGCGCTGCACAAAATACGATTCCCAGTCTGAATACGCTGGATGTTGATATTGCCCAGGCCAGAAGAAAGGTTAAAATGCGGTTGTCTGAACTTATCTTAATCCTACCAAAGCTGCCAATGCAACGCATTTATAACGTTGTGCATGAGACCTGGGACCGTGCAGACTCTGGTTTAGAAGCGTTCTGGCTGGATGTTATGCTGGATTTGAATTTGGAAACGATTATGGGATAGGCTCAGTGTCGTATCCAGAGTCCTTCCCCTGGCCAATGTTATCTGTTCATCAGCCCCTTCAACTTGAATCCACTCGATGAGACCTGCCTTCAGGAAATGTTCTAATTTTGTAGATGACTCTCCCATAAATGCCACCATCAGCGCTTGTTAATTTTATATTTGTGTTCATTCCGCTGTTTTTTTTCCCACTAAACAGCCATTAGATTCAAAATGTAAGGTTCTCTGCGTTCGCCTTAAGGCGTGGCCTCAGGCTACGACTGATGCCTAGGTCCTTTGGTGACAGCCCATTCCATACAAATTGCTAGATGGCTCCTTCCCTGTCCACTTTTCATAGTCAACCCACCCTGCGGGCTGTCTTCTCTTTCTCATATACTTTTACTAGCCAGGATTCCTAGCACACCCCACCTCACTCCATTCGACAGGTATTATCCCACAATCATATATTTGCCTTCGACACCCAAAATCATCCCTGCTACAAAAAATGGGCTTACTGGTCAACAAAGGTTGCGAGTTGGATGTGGAGGAATCTTGATAACCTAGTTATTCGAGCTACACATCCTTGATTGCTTGTATAATGGCCGGACCTCTATACTTCTTGTCGGCCTTGGGCTAGCTAATTGGGACTTGCGATGAAATGCGCAAGCCTGTTTTTACAGGACAGAAGAAACCACATCCAGTTCAAAATACGTAGGACGGCGATTTTTATTCTGCAACCACCATTGGATCAAATACTTGATTGTGTAAGACTCAGTCTCTCGCAATCGGGCATATTTGAGTGCCAAGTCCATGGCTTATGCTTATCCGCAGCTCGTCTCCAGGCTGGAGGAATTGTGGTGGGCTCTGTGAGATACCGATGCCACAAGGCGTTCCGGTGATGATGACGGTCCCGGGCAGTAATGTGTGGCCCTAATACTTAGCATTAGTTATGTTTGCTTGAAAGGAATAGGGTCATTTTGTACCTGAGAAAGATAGGACACAATTTCTGGTATGCTGAAGATCATGTCATCGGCGGATCCATTCTGCATGATCTTTCCATTGAGACGGGTCTTTAAATTCAAAACTGAAGCATCGGGAATTTGTTCTGTAGACACGATACATGGGCCGAGTGGGCAAAATCCATCCTGATAGTTGTTAGTATCGAAGTTCATCTTGGGTGTTGACTATATCGACATACCATTCCCTTTGCATAAGACCACTGTGATGTCTTCTCTTGATGTTTGCGGGCCGTCACGTCATTGGCGACTGCATAGCCCAGAACGTAGTCGGTTGCTTCATTCACCGAAACATTCTTGCACTGTCTGCCGATGACTATCGCCAACTCAACTTCATAGTCTGCCTCATCGTAATCCACGTTGGAGGGAAGTATAATCGGTTCGGATGCAGATGCAATGCATGTGCTGGCCTTCAGGAAAACACTGCATGGTATCAGCAACTGTTAGAAGCAAAAGCAGATATACTAACGTTGGTGTGTTT